TATAATTTAAGTAAGATTTAAAGAAATTAAACAGAAAATTCAATTTATGCTTTTTGTACTCTGCTTTGCCATCAATTCAATATGTAGAGAGAACACAGGTTCTGTGACCAAACTGGTTTCTCCCATCTGGTAATACCTCTCTCACCACCCATATCCCTTGCTTGTCTTCAAAAATTTCTTATTACTTTAGCAGTGATTCCACCCCTCATGTACAAACTACCAGCTATACTTCTGCGTGCAGTTAAAAGATGTGTGACTTCAGCTTCCTCATCAGGTCCTGTCCTTTAACTTACTATGTACCTAGTGGGTGTCTCCAAGCGTAGTCATGAACTATTGCTTAATTGTAATATATGAATGGAACATCAGTTCAGCAGCACAGGAACTCAGCTCAAGTGAAATATGCCACGCAAAGGAACATGTGGTTAAAGGTGCAGGCGGGCACAGAGAAGAAGAAAAGTGGCTGATCCTCCAAGTAGCTGCTTGACACTACTGGGCTTATGACCTCGGAATCCATGGCCTCTACCCTTATTCCTGTCCTTGTGTCTTCCCCAGCACAGCAGGTAGTACAGCTACCAGGCACTGTCTGAGGGGCAACCAGAGCAGAATAACACCCACCATCCAGCGGTGACAGAGGCAGAAAAGTAGCAGCGGTTCAGAGCAGCCAGGTTCCACCAGAGATAATCTGCCCTAAATGGACCCTGCTGTGAGCAAAAGCTTACATACATCATGTACTTAGAAATGAACTGAACCCCTGACCTTAGCAGCAGTAGAAGGGCTGAGAGACTTCTGGTTGAAAATCACCTATCATTCCCCTGACACAGGTCAGAAGGGAAGCAATACAGGATCCTGCTCAACAGTTTTGTATTTACCACATGAGTCCCAAGACTCCCCAGCAAAGTACTAGAACTGTGTAGGTCTGAGACTGACTTTTAAAGTCCTCCACATAGCTGTCAGCCCCTGAAACGCAGAGGCTGCCCTCATTCCTGTGAGGCCACTGGAGCACACTGCCTGGCTCCATGTGGGTGTGTGCGTGAACGGTGAGTGCGCTGGTCGGAAACGGCCCCAGATACCAACCATCAGAGGAAAGTGAGATTTACCTGAATGTAGAAATTTGTGAAAAGAACAATCAGAGAAATCATGTATCCAATCTGGAAATATAACCAACCGAGAGGGAACGCGCAAGGCCAGATGACGCCACAGCTGGTCTGGATGATTGTCAGCACAAACTGGAGCTGGTAGAAAGAGACAGGACACACCTGAGCAGCATAGCAGCAGGACATCTACAAGGTCCCACGTTAGACTTTTCACCCAGCACCCCACCCCCAAGTTCCTGAATTAATGTTGATTAATTTTTCTGTAAGCAAAGAAGTCATTTAATAAACACAGTTATCAAAAAAATACCAAACCAAACTCGTTGCCGTCGAGTAGACTCACAGCGACCCTATAGGACAGAGTAGAACTGCCCCACAGGGTTTCCAAGGAGTGGCTGGTGCATTCGAACTGCCGACCTTTTGGTTAGCAGCCGAGCTCTTAACCACTGCGCCACCAGGGCTCCCACAATACATACACTATATTTATCCTAAACTATATATATGTGTGCATGTGTATACTTGTTTTACGTATATATAACTCCCAACACCACGTAGCTATTAAACAGTGAACCCACTGTTACTTATAACTTACACCATCACCTCTAAAATTCAGGGACACAGTAGAGAGAGATGCAAAGTTTTTTATTTTTTGCTTTTTAAAGGGGGGAAGGAAGGATGTGGGGTGTATGTATTTTTAAAGGGAACAAGTGATGTCACTGAAGGAACCAACCAGACTGGACATTTTCCCCATCCCTCGACTGTGTATTCTAGACTTAAACTCACTGGGAAATAATGCCAAGTGTATAGGCTTTCTCTGACAAGTAAAACTTGAAAAGCATGAGAATCTGCTTGGAGAAACACTCAGGAGATGTTAAAAATAAGGTGGCCGCCGGAGGTGCACCTTATGGAAGAAGAACGACAACGGAGGGCTGGGTTCTGCCCATTGTATTTCTGGCCCAGCTTATAATGCTACCAAACAGACAAGAGTTTTTTCCTTTTATTTTTAAGGTTAGTACTTTAGATTGAGAAATAACTAGGAAGCGTGCTTAAAATAAATTTAAACAAACTGGGTGCAATCTTCTACCTCAATGTACTAAGCCCAGTGGGAGAACCACTTCCCCAACCTGTTCTTTTTAAATTCTGCTTCTGCCAGAATCACAGCTGTGGGTTATAAATCAATCACTGCATCCTTTCACCTCCAGTGTAAAAAGGAAGTTACAGAACAATTGTCTTTCTTCACAGGTGGGTGAAAAAACCTAACAAGGACTGTAAAGCACCTGGCAAAGAGGTGATAATGACATATCAAACATATATGTAATACAGGAGATTTTCTCAGATAGTTATTTTAAATATTGAAAAATCGTAATTGATTTGGATGGTCTGAGTCAGTTTGGTTTGTTAATAAGGCAAGGCTAAGAGTTTAATGTCCACACCCCTAAGTCAGCTAGCTTTGGCCTACTGACTCAGTGTCCTCATCTATAGAATGGGGCAATAATGAGATCAGGTTATTGGAACAATCCATGTAAACTCCTTATTATTAGCACAAGTGCCTGACATATAATAAACGTCAGCATTTAACAGCAGTAGTAGTATTAATAACTAGTTATCAAAGAATGCATGAGGGGAGAGGAATTAAAAAAAAAAACAAAAAACAAAAAAAACTGTTACCATCAAGTTGACTCTAACTCATAACGACCCTACAGGACAGAGCAGAAATGCCCCACAGGGTTTCCAACGCTGTAATCTTTACAGAAGCAGACTGCCAAACCTTTCTCCCACAGAGCAACTGGTAGCTTCAAATCACTGACCTTTTGGTTAGCAGCCAAGTGCTTAACCACTGCACCACTAGAGCTCCTGGGGAGAAGAACAGGGATCTATAATACACCAGCAACTGGGAAATGTTTGAGAAAGGATGTTGAGAAATAGCCACCAGGCACCAGCAGTCGCCTGAACGGGGAGGGGGATGTCACCAGATGCCAATGTTAGCAACAGGTGCTCCATTAAGCACGGGCAGAATTCAGAGGTCAGCTGGCATGTGCCTTAGCAAACATTCTTGTTGCCTAACGAGCTAGAAGCACGCTGGACTCAGGTTACTTCACAGCTCCTTCTGAACTTCTTGGAACACAGATAAACAGTTTTTACCTTGGATTTTGGATTATAATTAGAAAATACATATACATACAGATGCATATGTGCTTATTTGCACAAACTAAGGACCAAAAAACTGACCTTGAAGTCAGGAAATGAGATTCCAGCTCTCACTGTACATACAATTCAACTAGCTGTATGACCATGGGCACAATTTCCCCATCAATAAAAATAAAGAAAATTCCCTGCTGTGACCATTTCAAGGAGTTTACAATTGGATCAAATGAGAAGGGGTGGGAAAGGCACATCTTAGATGCTATTAAACAACAACAGGGAGGCAGCAGAGCATCCAAAGGAAGAGGTCAGTGTCCACCGGGAAGCAAGTCCTGGGAGAATGAGGCCCAGTCACTCACCAGCTGCCCCTGAGTGATGTACTTCTTCCACCAGAGATACGGACGCATGGAAGGGACAGATGACAGACCATAGTATGAGTACATGAGGACGTGGATGAAGCTGTTAAGTGTGGCACCAAAGTAACCTGCAGGAACAGAGGGGGTTTGGGAAGGAGGGCATGTCAGTGTTTTATACATAACAGAAAAAGAAAAAAATATACAAATATATTCAGAAAATGAGATACTTTTGAACAGGGGTTGGAGGACACAGCAGCAGCAAGCACTGCATGGATGTATAATCAGAATGCCATTTCTGCTTGGGCAGGCCACCATTAGGATGCTTTAAGCCTAGGGGTCAGCTGAACCCGTCAGGGTGGATCTAACACAGGAGCCACTATATCCACCTGCATGGCTCTGGCACCTGCAGGCTTTGCTTCCAGCTCCCTAACAATGCCCAGAGGTAGTTGCTTTTGTATACATGCCCAATCACCTCAGTCCTGTTGCTCTGAAAGCTTTGGACAGCGGATGGACAATATGTCCCTACAAATCTGCTGAGGTTTGGAGAGGCCTGAGAAGTCACCTCCTAATTACTCCACAGGACAGCAGTGCTGAGGCCATGCACTGAGCAGAGTCTAGTTCCCTAGGGATAAAAGAGCCACTTAATCTCCTGATCTTCAAATTTCTAGTAGGACTGCTAGTTCTTTTTTCAGACTGTCTTACTGCCCCCACAGTAAGCAACCACAAAAAGCCATCTGGCCTCTCCATGTGCAGTTAAGGCCATGTGCACAAGCATCAGGGAAAGCGCTTCTACTCTCAGCTATGATAGTCAACTGACCATGCGACCTTGCACAGGTCACATCCATTCTCTGGTTCAGTTTCTTGGGGCCAGGTGGGGCTAGTTAAAATCTGCCAACCTGCAAGTTTTCTGAAGATTGAACGCACTCTTGTACTGTAAGCAGGTGCCGTTTCCACTAGCAAGGTCAGTTAACCCACACTCATGAGGTGGGATGGTGGGCAAAAAAACACTAACAACGGAGTTGGAGGCTGATCTCTACCGACCATTCTATGGTCTCAGTTTTCTCAGATGTACATCCAAAGGAGCTGTATTTTGAAGGTCCTTTCTAGTTCTAAAATTCTATCACTGTGTGAACCTTGGTGGGCCAAGTTAATCAAGGGTTAGTACAATCCTAGGGAAAAAACTATACATAAACAGACCCAAGGCTCTAGTCAAATTCTTCAGTGTCAGGATGACTGGAATTTTGACTGGGACATTTGTTAAAACTCCAAGCTGAGCCTGAAGGTAACAACTTTATCTCTGAAAATTATAAGAGATTTCAAGACCATAGCTTTCCAAAAGCCAGTTACCAGTTACCTGAAGTAACCTTTGAGAAGTTACTTCAAATTTCGGTACTTGCCATAAAAGACATCCTGACAAACGTGCTTCATGGAATGGGAGGGTCATTCTATTAGGATATGTGGAGACTTCCTAATGTGGTATTAGCTAAAGCTGTATCTCACAATTAGTTTTGTTCCCTGGTACCCACAAAATGGAATGATCCCATCTTCCTGCCCTATTCCTGTCAGGCAAACACATTCCAAATCTCTTAACCTTTTAAGAACTAATCTGAAACAGCTCCCTCTGGGACAGACAACACTGTCCATATTTTTTAATGTGCCCTCAAGTGGGGAATCTGTCATCTCCTTCATCTTGCCAAATCAGGCCTTCACACTAAACTAGAAAAAAGATGTTGTCAGCTCACTGACTGCATAGGTCACACAAACTATCATTATACGCAGCTAAGACACAAAGTTCAAATGCCTGAATTGTTAGAATCTACAGAAACAGCACCTTTCCTAAAAGCCTGTTTCAGTTTATCCTCTCTGCTCATACCTATCCCCAAGCCACCCCCACACCCGTCCCCATAATATTTACAGTGGCCGCAGGGCACCCAGTTCATCACAAACCACCAGATGTTCAGCATGGAGACGTGGTGGTACACATGCAGGACTGTGATCTGGTGGTTGTTCTTGCGTAAAATGAAGAAGAAGGTGTCCATAAATTCTATGAGTTTGGAGAAGTAATACCACCAGAGGACACGGATGATCTAGGAGGAAGGGGTTAAAAGACTTAGTCTCAGTGTTCTCTGAAATGGGCCTGCTCTGAAATATTACCTCTGACACGTTTTACTAACATCCCAAAGTCCAATGTTAACTCGGAGAAGCCCAAGAGCCCAACTGGTTACTCTGTGAGCGGATTTAAAGGAAGAATACACTAGGGGAAGTTTGCAATGACAACAAGGAAAGTTTTATAAGGGCCACTGATACCCTTCAAGATTATAACAAAAACAGAAAGCTCTAGGTCCAAAACCCTGAAGCCTGCCTATTCCCTCTGGAAGGAGTCTGTGAAGCCATCAGTACAAACAAACCACCTGAAAGACGCTTTTGATTTCAGGGACTGGCATGGGGCAGGTGACACAGTATAAGGCAAAGAAGAAAAGGAATCAGAGCTTTTAGAGTCAGGTACCTGACAAATTACTATGTCACAAAGCTGTCTTATGACTGAGCACCTACTGTCAGTCTTTTATTAAAACAAACAAAAAAACAAACCTCACCTAGAGTGGAAGTCAAATTCTATCTTAAATACCAGTGCTCAGAAGGCACTTAGAAGAATGATTTAAAAATTCAGGACATTATACTTATGATCTCATTCACGTAAATACAGCATAAACACTGACAAATGGATGCAATTCTCTCTCCCCAGAAACTGTTAACAACAGTTACCTTTGCAGAGAGGGTAGCTTTACTTTTCATTTTACACCTTTCATGTTCCAATTTTTGTACCATGTGTATATACTGCTTTTATTATTCTTATGATTTTTAATGTCTAGAGATTATCTGGGCAGTAGGGTTATGGGCTATTTTTTGTCTTTTGTACACTTTCCTTATTTAAAAACAAAACAGGAAACTACATAATAAATGCTATTAAAAAGAAAAAAAAGTGTGACGGTACCTTCATGTCTGATTCTCCCGCGCTGCGTGTTCCCTGACAGAAGAAGTTGTATTTACCTTCCCATACTCCTGTCACTAACTAAAAGAAAAGAAAAAGATGGTCACCAACAATATCAGAACCACAAAAAGACTTAGAAAGTTAAACTCCATTTATTTTAGAATCTGTGAAAATTTACCCTGGGCCATGCTGAAGCAAGTCTGCTCTCAGAAAACAAAATTATAAGAACGTATGAACAAAGGGAAAGTTTGTAAGGACTTAAGCCTCAACTTCACAAGGGGTAAAAACACAGTTACAGATTAAGTGGTGGATCTGAGATTCATTCCTGGCTGCCTGTCTTCAGAGACCCTCCTTTACCACCCAGCCTCTCTTCAGAATCCTCAACTCTTTATCCCTTTGGTTTTAGCACAATATGCCTTGCCAATTCTGAGGCCCAGACCAACCCAATCGCAGGCTCCCCGCCTCACTCCTGACCCCCAGCAGCCTCAGGGGACAACACCATCTTGTGCCTAAGGCTGCCGTTCTAATTACAGGTTTCCAACCTGAGTCAAGTCCTCAGTGTTACATAGCAGTGGTTTTCAAAACACTTCCTAAAACCAGCTGAGCTCAAAAAGCTTCCCAATATGGCTTCCTTAAAGCTTGAAGGGATTTTAGAACCCATTTGCTCCTGGGATGGCAGAGAGGCCTGGGTGGTGGCGGTGGTGGTGGAAGAGGAGCGCCGTGAGCAAGCTCAGGGGAAAAGTGTGCCAAGACCAAGTACTCTGTCAGCTCCGGTGGGGTAGGGGGAGCTGAGACTGTCCTGTCTTATCTATTCTGTGGAGAAATTATTTTTTAAAGAATTGTAGTAAAATACACATAACATAAAATGTACCATTTTAACCATTTGTAAGCGTACAGTTCAGGTGGCATTAAGCACGTCTGCAGTATTGTGCAACCATCACCACTAATGCAGAACTTTTTCATCATCCGAAACAGAAATTCTGTTCCTATTAAGTAATAATTTCTCATTCCACCCCCCTCTTCCCAACCCCTGGTGACCTCTATCCTACTTTCTGTCTCCAAGCATTTGCCTTTTCTAGATACCTCATATGAGTAGGACCATACAGTATCTGCTCTTTTATGTCTGGCTTATTTCACTGAGCATGTTTTCAAGGTTCAACCCATGTAAAAAATCACCAGAACTTTATTCCTTTCCTTTTCATGACTGAAAGATATTCCACTGCATGGATGTACATTTTGTTCATCCATTCATCTGTCAGTGGTCACCCGGGTTGTTTCCACCTTTTGGCTATTGTGACTAATGCTGCTAGAGACACTGGCAGCCTTCGTTTTTATAGATGATGAAACCCAGGCCCCCAGGTTTTCAGCATGTTAGTGACAGAGCTGAGGTGAAAATACAGATCATATTCAGAACAAATAACCCCCAAAGTGCTATTCTGTAATCCAGGACGGCTAGCTGACCCACCAGATTCTGACCCCAAGCATAAACCCACTGCCATCCACTGCGACCCTATAGGACAGAGCAAAACCACCCCATAGGGTTTCCAAGGCTGTAAATCTTTATGAAAGCAGACTGCCACATCTTTCTCCCACGGAGCAGCTGGTGGGTTCAAACCACCAACCTTTTGGTTAGCAGCCGAGTGCTTAACTACTGTGCCACCAGGGAATACCACATATTAATTGAGGGGAAAGGGCTAAAGGGGAAAGACATTCAACATAAAAAAATCTCCAGGTTTTCTTGGAGGCAACTAGCTGCTTTATTCAGTCGGGCTTTCTCTAAGCCAGTGGTTCTCTAACTTGAGTGAGCAACATCACAGTCATCTAGAGAGCAGGTTACAACACAGATTACTGGGTCCTACCCCAAGCCTTTCAGAATCATTTGAGTCTGGGGTGGGACCCAAGAGAATCTGCATTTCTAATAAGTTCCCAAGTGATGCTGAGGCTGCTGGACTACATTTTGAGAAACACTGCGGTTAAGCCTAGGGATAATTTAGTCCAACCTCATCATCTTCATTTCTTGTTCTGTGCCATGCCCTGGACACTAGGGATGACTTCCACAGACTAAGGAAATCATGCCCATTCTTCAGTTCACCTGCAGCAGAGTATGGGCACTGTGGTATCACAGAAAGAACCCTAATATCGAAGTGGCAAATTCTAGGTTATTACAGACCTATCACCAGTTCACTGTGGGGCCTCAGTCTTCTCATTTGCACAATGAAGACAACTGGACTAGACAAGACCCAAGGGTCACTCTAACAGTCCAGAGGAAAAGTTCAATTTGACCACCTTGTATTTTCCAAGTTGTCCATTATGCTCCAGACAAACACCTACGAGATGCTATGTTTACTGCTACTCTTCAGCTTCCTCCTGAAGCCTGGGGCAACCTCCACCTTTCCTTGTGGCCTTCTCCTTGGTGGCCAAGTGGGGCTAGCCGGGGAGAAATCTGAGGTGCCATGCCTTGTGCCTGATCTCCTCCCAGTATCTACTACAAGGACCTGGCCACTGGTAGCTGTTTAAAGTCATGGTTCTCAAAAGTGTGTTCCCAGTCCAGCAGCATCCACTGGTGACTAATTCATGGGAACCAGCCAGGCCTTACTCTGGGCTTCAGGCCCGGCAGTCTGTGTTTTAACAAGCCCTCCCAGTGATTCCGCTGCAGCTAAAGTTTGAGAACCATTGGTTTAAAGCTGTGATTCTCATTTTGGCTGCTTAATAGGGGGCATTTAAAAATTACTAAAGCTGGCCTCACCCCAGACCGTTAAGCCAGAAACTTGAAGGTCTTTTAAAAAGCTCTCCAGGTAATTTCAGTGTGCCCCAAGGGATGGGAACACTGGTTTCGTGCTACTCAATTTCAATACGAAATGGTTCCACCTGTCAGTAGGATTTTGGGAAAGATGTAACTGGAACACAGGCCACAAGAGACTCAGCTATGCACCTGGCACCTTGCTGCTGTCCTTGAAGGCACTAACACAAGAGTTTAGCTTGGTGAGCAACAATGACTCCCTCCAGGGAACATCAGGCGACTGCAAGAGTCTGAAGACAACAATGGACTGTGGCCATAGTCCTCCAGATTTTTCTTTTAAAAATGTCTTTCAGAAGGAATTTGGGTGGGACTGCCTTTACTCTTTGAGCTAATTAACCTGAAATTCCATTTAGCCCCTTGATAAATTAAAAAATAAATAAATAATCACCATGTAAAACACCCACTGTCTTTGGAGGGGAGCCCTGGTGGTTCAATGGCTAAGTGAGATGGCTGATAACCAAAAGGTTGGCAGTTCAAATTCACCAGCTGCTCCCTGGAAACTCTATGAGGCAGTACTACTCTGTCCTCTAGGGTCGGAATGAACTCAGTGGCAATGGGTTTTGTTTTTGGTCTTTGGAGTATAAAAAGCTCAAACCTGGGTCTTGAGGGATGAACTTCTTCAATAATGAAGCATAAGCCAGCTACACAAACCAGAAGCTGCTCATTCACTTGACCTGAGCCCACCACCCCTCTTCTACTTATAGTGGCTCCTGCAGGAGCTCCACCAGGCTTAACCCCAATGCTCCCATGATTGCTGCTGCCACTCAGCGCTTGTACTGGATTCTCTGTGTCTCTCAAATCACCGACTTCTGCCTTTAAAACCCTTCAATGACTTGTCATCGCCTTCAGAATAAAACCCTAAATCCTAGGCACACTATTTAGGTATTCATTCTTCTACAATGTACCCCCAAGATTACCTTTCACTCCCTCCCTTACCTACAGTCAAACTGGACCTCTTCCCATTCTCCAAACATGCCTTTCCAGTACACAATGGCCAAGGGGAAAGAACTCAAGTTTCAGCACTAGCCAGACAGGGTTTAAATCCTTCCTTCCCCCCGTTTTTTGGAGTCCCCAGGTGTGCAAATGGTTAACATACTTAGCTGATAACAGGAAGGATGGAGGTTTGAGTCCACCCAGAGGCGCTCGAAAGAAAGGCCTGGTGATCTATTTCTGAAAAATCAGCCACTGAAAACCCTCTGGAGCACAACTCTACTTAGACACACGTAGGGTTGCCATCAGTCAGAACGGACTTGATGGCAACTGGTTCGTTTTTTCCCCTATGTTTAGCTAGGTGGCTTGGGCAAGGTACTTCAATCTCTTTACATCTGATTTTCCTTACTTGTCAAGTGGGATAAAAATAGTACTGGTCTCTTAAGGTTGCTGTGATAAGTTAGTGAGATGAAGCATGCAATGCTTATCTTCCTGAATATAGGCATATCAGATAAGCATAGTAAATGTTAGCAATTACCATTATTTTATTATTTTCAACCAGAAAACTCTCTGTACCCATGTTCCCCATGCCTAGCTCTCAAAATCCCATCTACCCTTCAAAGGTGAGTTGAAATTCTATTTTCATCATGAATGCTCCCTGAGCACCACAGGCTGAAGGCTGTTCTCCTTCCTTTAAGCTCACCCTGCATTGACTTGTAATTGTTCATATGCTCTCTTTAAGCCCCTGGTTAATAGGTCTGTTTTAAGCTTCCGTGCAAGCTTTGGGAGGGTGGTGCTCGTGGCTGCTGCACCCACAGACTCCAGCAGGGGGACTTGTACACAGAGGTGCTGAACAAGTTATTTGTTAAACTAATGACAAAGATTTCAAGTCACTGCTTCTCCCCCCCTCCACCCCAATGTAGGCCTAATGTTTTATTCACGGGCAATGGGGGTGAGGAACAGAGCTTCATTTCATTTCTGCTTTGCAAATGGGAGAAATTATAATACAAGAAAAGTTATTTTAATGAGGTTTAAATTTGATGGTATTCACTTAAACTCCGTTCACAGGACTAAAACCCTTCCTCATCAAACTGCATACTAAGGATGTGGAAAATTCAATTCTCAAATATCCTTGGCTTCAGAGGGGATTGAATAGTTGTACACACATGGACGAAGCACTGGAGTTAAAGTTTATTTATCTGAAGACCCTCACCAGACCTCCACAAAATGGGCCAGTTGAATCAGAGGACTATGCTCCCTCCAGCCCATCAGAGGAAAACAGAGTGTCCATGGGTAGTGGACCTCAGAGGCTCTCAAAGCAAAGAGGACGGACTTTCCCTCCAGCCCCATA